TCAGCAACCCCATTCTGCTGTGGGGACTCTGGAAGCGTCCAGGACTGACGAATGCCCTGCTCGCGACAGAATCCAGCGAGAATGCCGGAGCGAAACTCACCCCCACGGTCGGAGTGGAGACAGCTGACACGACGACCACGAGTGTCCTCGGTGGTGAGCAACCACCTGATCAGCGTAGAAGTCACCTCAGACTTCTTCGCCAGTGGGAACACTGTGGTGTAGCGGGAGAAGTCGTCAACGACCACCAGAAAGTAACGCTCGCGCTCAGGGCCTATACGAGGGGCGGGGCCCCAGACGTCCAAGTGAAGCGTCTCAAAAGGCTCGGTGGCCGGACGAAGGGAGGAGGAGTGAGGGGTGGCGCGCAGCCTACCCTCGACGCAGGGACGACACGTCGGCGCAAGCGAAGGCGGCAGCGACGGCAAGACACGTGGGAGGCCTAGGACAAGACGCTGACTAGACATAGCGCGCAGACGAGGAAGGGACGGGTGCCCCATCCGGTGGTGCCACAGAACGGTGGGGTGGGCAAGCGACCGGCAGGAGCACGACGCAGCGACTGGAACAGACGTAGGAACCTGACACGACACAGACACCTTGGGGGACGAAGCAACCTGGTGAGACACGGGGACCCGAACGGGGGGGGGAACCGGGGGCAGTGGCAGTAGGGGGGGCTGCTGGTGCGGCCGCTGGTGCTGCTGCTGCTGCTGCGGCTGCGGCTGCTGCTGCTGCTGCGGGTGCTGCTGCGGCGCACGCGGGCCAGTGTGAAGAGTGTAGAGACCCGAGCCCGGCTCAGCAGTAAAGGTAGTAAGAGGCTGGTAAGAGTCTCCGTCAACACACACCGCAGTCTCTCCAGAAGGCTCAAACCACACACCCACGTGCTGACTCACGAGGGGTCGCACGCCCACCAAGTTCCGGGAGAACGAGGGGACGTGAAACCCAGTGAGAGACCCGGAGGGAGCAGCAGGACACGGTAAAGTGGTAGTGTGACGGGCAGTGACTGGTCCCGTAGTGGGATCAGCCAACGCTACAGAAACAGGCGCAGGAAGTGGTGTAAGTGTCGTGCTGTCCCGGAAGAAGCAGTGGGAGGCTCCAGAGTCCAGTGTGAACAACAGCGAAGCGTCCCCTGAGGTAGTCGCTGGTCTAGAGTCTACACAAGTACCTACACTAGCAACAGGCAACTGAGCAAGACTAGCACCTAAGCTAACAACACCAGAGTAAACAGAGTCAGAAACACTAGAGTCAACAACAGGATACATAGCATGAGGAGCACTAATCAGATCAACTAACTGCTCAGCAGACATGCCCCACAGAGCGGAGCCGTAGCGCTGAACCAGAGGAAGCCAGTCAGGAGCAGGACCGCCAACCTCGTAGGTCAACCGGACCGTGTCAGTAAGCTGAGCAAAGCACTGACCAGGGGGGTGAAAGCGGCCACAAGGGTGGCCCCGACGAGGACCTGTCTGAACCTGGTAGGGGCAGGGAGGGTAAGCCGCACCGTGCTGGGGCTGACGCAGCCCCGACCCCGGAGCCAGCTGCTGACGCTGCTGCTGCTGAGGCTGCTGGGAGGAAAGGGGCTGCTGCTGCTGCTGAAGGTGCTGCTGACGCTGAGCCTGGTACCACGCCGCTGCTCCACCTAGCGGGGCCGGCAGTACAGGAGGCGACTGACGAGCTCGGGGGTCGCCGCCACCAGCAGGTGCAGTGGAGTCACCAGCCGCTGCACGAGGGGTCTCTCCAGACGCTGCACTCCCACCACCCCCAGTCGCAACAGCACCCCCACTACCTCCGCTACCTCCGCCTCCACCTCCACCAGAACCACCTTTCTTGCCCCCCCTACCGCGGGACCGCGACGCAGTCGTAACAGCAGCCGCAGTCGCGTCAGTAGCGGCAGTGGCAAGAGAGGCAGTGAAGGTGGGTAACTGCGGGACTATGCACCCGTGGAAGAGTGGGGGGGACACAGTACCAGAGGCGGCAGCTACCGAACGAAGGTTGCTCTCGACGTCCTTGAGTGCAGACTCAAGGACCTCGATAGTCAGCTCACTAGGGTGCTTCAGCAGAAGCGCGTCACGAACGGAGGCAAGGCGGTCAGGGAGGCTAGTGGCGATGAAATAGACAGTGATCGCCATGGGGGGAGGAAGAAGTGTAAGCTGTGCCTCAGTGCAAGCAGCGCGGTAACTAGCGTCGAGCGAGCGGAGGTGAGCGATCAAGTCAGCAGAGCGCTCAAACGAGGCAAGATCAGGAAACAGGAACGGGAGGAAAAGACGGCCAAGAGAGACAGTAGCGGGAGTAGAGTAGCGGGCCTTAATCGCAGTGAGGTACGCAGCAGCGGTGCGAACCTGAGTAAAGTGGACCTCCTCGGACTCAGGGAGGAGGCTGCTGAGTGCGATGCAGGCCGCAGCGTCACGCGACGTCCAAGCCGTCCGGTCAGCGCGCTGACCGGCAAAGCGAGCCGTAGCAGCGTCGTCAGGAGCAGGGCCTAAAGCTGTAGGCTCGGGGGGCTCAGGGAGGTCACCAGTAGCGTGTGACCAGAGGGTCTCGCCCCCCTGGACCTGACTCTCTAACAGACGGCGAGCGCGAAGAAGCCAGACGGAAAAGTCAAGGGGTCTACCGTCAGCGTCGAAACGAAGAACTCGCGGAGTCGCCATAGTGAGGACTAAAGCGAACGAACAGGCGAGTAACAACCGGGGGGGAAGAGGACTCAGTCGCAGCGAAAGAGCGGGCTAGAGCGACGGGCCAGTACGTAGGGTAGGGCAACGGGCCAGGGCCTAGGGTAGGTCGACGGGCCAGGGCCTAGGGTAGGGCGACGGGCCAGGGCCTAGGGTAGGGCGACGGGCCAGGACTTAGGGAGGGCGACGGGCTAGGGCCTAGGGTAGGGCGACGGGCCAGGGCTTAGGGCAGGGCGACGGGCCAGGGCGTAGGGCAGGGCGACGCGACGGGGGAAAGGGCGGGAGCGAAGCGACGGGGCAGGGCGACGCGACGGGACAGGGCGACGCGACGGGGCAGGGCGACGGGACGGGGCAAGGCGACGCGACCGGGTAGGGCGACGCGACGGGACAGGGCGACGGGACGGGACAGGGCGACGGGACGGGGTAGGGCGACGCGACGGGACAGGGCGACGGGACGGGGGGGGAACAGGCGGGCACGACGCGACGGGGGGAACGGGCGCGACGCGACGGGGGGAAAGGGCGTGACGGGGGGGGGGAAAGGGCGTGACGGGGGGGGGGGAAAGGGCGCGACGCGACGGGGGGGGGGGGGGGCGCTAGGCGACGGGGAGAAAGGGCGCTAAGCGACGGGGGAAAGGGCGCTAGGCTCGGTAACAACGGAACTGGTACGAACGAGAGGTAGGATCAGGCTCGGGAGGTACGAACGGAGAACGGAGGAACGGGATCCCACAGGATCCTAACCTAGCTGATACCATGTCAGAATGAGGAATGGTGTTTCCATTGATGTTGGTTGGGGTACATATGACAAACCCTAACTTCTGTACCCCCTAAGACAAACCTCACTACAGGCTACAACATTTGACATGGGGGCTCTGAAAAAAATTAGTCTGAGGCATATTTCCCAGAAAATGGCTACTCTGATTTTTCAGGTTCCGCAAAAACACAAGTCTGAAGTACTCAGAACACACTACAACCACTGCAGCACGGCACTGCCACGAATGCAGCATGTGGGGCGCAGCGCTAACCAACTTTGCTGCCCCAGCACAGAGTTTCCCTCACTGACACCGCGTAGCTGCAGTGATGGTCCAGCCCGCGTGAGTGAAAGAGCGAGCCAAGTTGGCAGATTTCAAAGGGAAAAGGGTGGCACAAGTTGCCAAGGAAGGAGAGATTCTGCGCGTGACAGCGCCATGAAGTGTGTTCATACACTGGCAACATATGACGTAGCGGAATGTACGGTACGTAGAAATTACAGATCCGCATTTCAGGATCCGTACTCCCTGTAGTATGAAGACCCATTATCGGCTAAGTCACTACTCTGAAAAACTCAGTATCCAAAAACAAGAAAGTCTGAGGTACTCATGTTTGAAAATCTTACCAAGTCTGAAAAATCAGGATCCGTAGGAAAATAGCCTGAGATTTCAGACAATCAGACTATTTTAGTACACCAGTGTTCTTGACGATTGGTTCCTTGTACGGTAGCATGTGCTCAGTCAGTTCAACTTTTGTACTGTCATCGCCCGGATAGAAGACATATATGATCTTATACCTTAGAAAAAAAAGCTTCCCGTGTCTTGTAATTGGGACGGTTTAGGGTGTCTTATAATTCTTATAAATGGACAAAAAACCGTTTAGAAGATACCCCCTCGTCATAAGATTGCCCCTAACCTTACACTGGCTTAACTCGTACACACCAACAGGTGTCTTATAATCAGGAACACCCATCTATAAGATACATCCGTTTTAACGACACCCCGTCTTCAATTCGACAGTCTTGTATCCGGGCGATGACGGTAGTTTTCAGGGCTCTAGAAATCGCTAAACAGAGTTACCCTATTTGGATTGAACGAACCCTCCATTCTGAGATTGTCTTGTGTCCACCATCGGAGATGAGGTTCATTTACATGGGTATCACATTCCTTCCTAGTACCCAACACTGTAACCAGTCCGGTCCGGACTGACTGTCTCATCATTGCAACTTTCTATGAGCAACCACTGGCTGATGGGAGGGCAGCGCATGCAGTTAACTACAGCTTCACTAGCATGCTTGATGTTGGAGGAAAGCTTGACCTAGCAGATAAATGAAGGCAGATGCGCGCTGCCATGTGCTTATTCACGCTGGGGAGAGATTCCGTAACGACCACGATTGATGGCAGCTCTTTGACCACACGAAACGGCAGAGGAACAACCTGCTGCCTTGAGAGACCTGTCTCTGGCTCGTGTCGCTCTCTCCGCTGCCCCACGGTGCGGCACGGCAGGGAGCGCACTGACGCAACTTGTGGGGTGTGAGAGAAACTTGTGGGGGGGCAAGAGTGGAACGTAAGGGGCAGTAGTGCAGGTGATGGGTGGTCAGTGGAACTTGTGCGAGGCGATGAGGTTCTTGAGAACGTTGTTGGGCGTCAGGCACGTGTGCGGCAGGGGCTGCCCCGTGGCGGGGGAGAGCGAGGAGGAGCCCATCCACGTGGTGATGTGCTGCCGCTCGTACGTGAAGCCGTCCGCCGCCACCACCGGGTCCTTCATTATCTCCTGCTCCATGCCCATGCCCATGCCCATGCCCATGCCCATGACCATGCCCATGCCCATGCCCATGCCCATGCCCATGCCCATGCCCATGCACGCACGCCCGCATGCCCGCATAACACATACATCCGTACTACCACACACCCATGCCCACACAAACACCCATGCCCACACAAACACCCATGCACACACCCAACCATGCCCAGAGCACATGGAGACAGACAGGGACATTGACATTGGAACAAAAGACAAGCCACGCACACGCACACACACACACGCTTTGCCTGCCACTGAACGGCAGATGAACCGTGCGAATACCAATCCAACAAACCTGTGCCCCAGGGGATACGCACCGTGGAGATGGGGCAGATGAACTGCGAGTCGCACCTTGGAGATGGGGCAGATGAATTGCGAGTCGATACGCTTCTTGCGCCGGCGCTCCTCCGCGCTGGCCTCGGCCGCCACGCGCACGAGCGTGGGGTGGATCTCCTCCGCCAGGTCCGGCCGGTTCTCCCTCCGCCGCTCAGCGCAGCGCAGCGCCAGCGCCGCCACCTGCTCCGCCAGGTCCAGCCGCCAGTCGCCCGCCGCCGTGTCCAGGTACCGCAGCACCATCTCCGCACCCGCCGCCGCCCGGTGCTGCCCGGGCCTGGCGGGGCGGGCGGTGCAGTCGGCGAGCATGCGGTGAACGGCCTTGACGCTGCGCTGCCCCGTGAGCAGCTGCAGCAGGATGAGCCCCAGCGCGTAGATGTCAGAGAGCACGCTGATCTCACACGTCTCCACCTCCTCGGGGTCGATGTATCCCGCCGTGCCGCGCACCTTCATGGTCATGACGTCATCGGCGCACAGCAGGCGCGCCAGCCCCACGTCCCCGATCTTGCTCATCATGTGCCCGTCCAGCAGGATGTTGTCGGGCTTTAAGTCGCGGTGCACGATGGGCGGCTCGTTCTGGTGCAGGTACAGCAGCGCTGACGAGATCTCCGAGAAGATTCTCAGCCGGTCCACCCACGACAGAGGCACGGCGTCGGGCGTCTTTGGCGGGCCGAGCTTGTCCTGTAGCGTGCCGCCCGAAAGGAACTCGTAGATGAGGGCCATTTCCTCGACGCAGCAGCCCATGAGCAGCACGATGTTGGGGTGGCGCATGCGCGACAGCACCTCCACCTCCATGCGGAACTCGTCCGGCCCCTGCCACCCCTGCCCCTCCAGCCGCTTCACCGCCACCTTGCACCCCAGCATCTCGCCCTTGAACACGTACCCAAACGACCCGCGCCCCAGCAGGTTCTCCCGCGCGTACCCGCGAGTTGCCTTCTCCAGCTGCTTGGGTGTGAAGAGCCGGCAGTCGAACCCGTCGCCGCCCGCCCCCAGCCCGCGCAGGTCGATCTGCCCCATGCTGTGCGCCCCGGCGTTCTGTGCACTGCTCCCGCCGCCCGTGCTGAAGCCGCCCGCGACGGGCGGCAGCAGTGAGGAGACGGCGGCGGAGGCGGCGGGGCGGGAGGAGGAGAAGCGCGAGGAGAAGCGGTTGCTGGGCGCGCCCCCCACCTGCCCTGGCGGCTCCATCTCCACCACCATCCTCCCTGCCTCCGCCCCTGCCGCCCCCGCCTGTGCTGCATCTGCGGGCAGCAGTGCGGAGGCGGGTGAGTCGGCGGAGAGCATGGTCTGCGGGCCACTGAGCTGCAGCGCGCGCAGCTGCTGTGAGAGGAAGCGCTGCTCGCAGCAGCGGTCATACAGGGAGAGAGAGCGAGGGGTTGGGGCGCGGTGGGGCAAATGGGAGAGGTAGGAAGATTCGCAGGGAATGGCAATGAAACTGGGAAACGATACAGAAGTACAAAAAGCGAGGTGATATGGAGTGTTGAGTGTACGGGTGCGGTGACATGACCGACCTCTGACTTGTTGTCATTGCCACGTGCGTCCGCACCCGCCTCTGCTGCTCTATTGCTGCTCACGGATTTGCCCTCCCACCGCTCCTCCCCGCCCCCAGTGGCCTCCTCCTCCTCATCCAGCAGCGCCAGCTCGTCCGCCAGCAGCGACCGCATGCCCCCCCCGCCCCCACCCCCGCCCCCGCCCCCGCCCCCACCTGCACCGCCGTTGCCCTCCATCTCCCTGCCCGCCCCGGCCTTCCCCATGTGCGCGCCCCCCTCACCCCCTTGCCGGCCCGCAGCAGCAGCGCCGTGCGGCGCCACGCAGAAGGCCACGCGACGCCCGCCGGGGCTGTCGCGGCCGGCGTGGAGGGGCGGGGTGAGGCGGCCGGTGGACGCGGGGGACGCCGTGGAGAAGGCGAGCGCGGCAGCGGCGGCGGCGGCAGCAGCGGCGTCCAGCGGCATGGCGCTGGCGCTGCTCGACCGCACTGCCTCCCGCAGCCCCCCCTTGCCCACCACGCCGCCCGCTGCGTCCCTGCCCGTCACGCGTGTGGGCGGCAGGCCCGGCTTGTGGCGGGCGGCGTCGGAAAGGCTGCGGTGGTAGTCGTTCTCGTCCATGGGGGAGGCGGATGACAGGTGGGGCGGGGCGGGCGAGGGCAGCAGTGAGTGGTGGTGCGCGTGGTGGTGGTGCGCGTGGTGGTGGTGGTGCATGGCGAGAGTCTCCGCAATGGCTGCTGCTGCGACACCAGGGGGGCAGTAGTCAGCAGAGAGGGTGGGGACCTCCATGGAGGAGAGGGCGGAGGCGGCGAGTGACGTGTGCCCCGTGGACGCGTCCACCGGCATCATGGCCCTCAGACTCGCCAGCCGCTCCTCCTGTGCATCCCGTGCCATGCCATGCCATGTCATGCCATGCCACGCCATGCCATGCCCCACACACCACATGCCACATTCCCACGGAAAAGAGAAGAAAGAGCGGGAGAGTTGAGGGGCGCGGAGCCAGGGGGGAAGCGCAGGTGAGCAGGGCGGGATTGATGTGAGGGGAGAGCGGCGGCAGCATCGAGGAACAAGACGCCCAGGGGCATGCTGCGGCCACACAGCATGGGATGGAGAGGAGTGCACGTAAGCAGAGAAGGAGCTGATAGCGGGGAGAGGGGGAGCACCTGCAGAGAGGAGAGCGCGGAGGCGTTGAGCTCCCCTGGGAACGCCGTGCTGCCGCTGCTGCTGCCCAGCCTGCCCGGCGCCTCACTGCTGCCCTCCACAGACGAGTAAATCACCCCCGGCCGCAGCTGCTCCGCCCCTACGCCCACCGCCTTCCCCCCGTTCCCCACACACGCCCCACCTCCCCGGCACTCCCCCGCGCACAGGGGTGGCGGCGCATCACACGCGCCCGCTGCAGCGCCCCCTGCACCCACCAAGGCAACCGCAGGGAAGCCGCCGCTGTGGCTGCCCGTCCCTGCTAACCTGGCGCCTCCGCCTGCCCCTGCTCCCATCCCCGGCCCCAGCCCCGCCCCTCCCACGCCCCCGCGCGGCACCATGGGCGACGCGCCCTGCGACCATGCTACCCGCACGGCGCCCGGCCCTGCAGGCGAGGCGGAATTCAGCGCGACCTGCGCGGGGGAGAAGCGCGCGCTGGACGAGCGCGCGTGCTGCGGCGACAGCAGCGCGTGCGCGCCCTCCACGTGCGACAGCGACGGCGACGCTTGGTGCCCTGCGCCCCCCGCCGCGCCTGCTCTCGTGCCCACGCCTGCTGCCACGGCCATGGCGAGCGCCCCAGGCGCGTGGAGCGAGGGCGCGTTGAGGTGCGGATTGGGGTGCTGCGCGGAGAGGTGCGGATTGGGGTGCTGCGCGGAGAGGTGCTCTGAGTCGGGCGTGGCGGAGCCTGACAGCGGGCCGGCGGAGGCGGGGGCGGCGGAGGCGGGGGCGGTGGGAGCGTTGTAGCGACAGAAGATGAAGGCGTTGGGGGAGACGACGAAGAAGGGCGCTTCTCCCCCCGAGCCCGGCAGGGACTGGTGCTGCTTGGCGCCCTGCACCACCACGAGCAGACATGACGGCGGCAGGCCCGCCTCGTAGTGCGCTGATGCTGATGACGACCACCCCAGCAGCTTCCTGGTACCGCCACAGGATTGCACCGCACCGAACCACACCAGCCCAGAAAGCACCAGACAGGGCAAGAAGTGAGATGCAAAGGCAGGCGGGGGGCAAGAGGGATGGCAGTGAGAGTCGTTCTGACAACGGTGCGGGCAGGGAGCAACACACACGGCACAAGCAGCAAGAGCGGGGGTGCGGAGGGGCAGCGCGTGCTCACTTGCGGAGGCCCACGTAGACGCGCTGCGCCTTGGCTCGGCGCGCAGCAGCGCAGAGCCCCAGCTCGCGGCGGTCGTTGCGCTCAATGGACGCGTTGCAGTGCACCTGGCGCGCGCGCGGGAGAGGGCAGACAGAGAGGAGGGAAGAAAGGCGAGCTTGTGATGGATGCGAGTGGACTTGTGAGACCACCTTTTACTGCAACCAAGCATGCACGCGTCGATCGCATATTCGCTATTGTTTTACTTGCCATAAGATATTTCACGCGAGCCCGTTAGCGCGCAATTCATTCTGCCTTCATCAGAGCGGCATGAAGTGGGTTGCGGTAGCGCGTGTGTAGCCTGGCCAGGCGCGAGCACCTTTTTGGTTTTGGCGTGCGCGAGCAGCGGGCGCAGCATGACCTCGACGAGGCGGCGGCCGTGCTCCAGCGCGGTCTTCGGATCCACCTCGCTCGCCGGCAGGTCCATTCCGCCTGCCGCCATGCACGCCGCCGACGAGGCGGGAGAGGAAAGGAGGGGTGTGGGGGGAATAAGGGGGGAAGGGGTTACCAGGGCGAGGGAGAATGGGAGGTCGATTTGGGATGAAAGGGCCGCAACACGCGCGCAGAGGCGGTGAAGTAGTGCTAGACACGCGGAGGTGGCATCTAATCATGTCCGCAATGAGCCCACACACAAACTACGGGGAATGCGCCGAGGAACTCGCGGCCCCGAATAAGCGGCACCTTGAGTTGGACTTCATAGATCCTTTAAACACCATCTCACGATTGACCAATCACGACCTTGTAAATCACAAAGCGACGTCGCGAACGAAGAAGGCAAGCAAAAGACTTATTCGGAAGGCCGGACGAGCAACACCGCGAATAAACGAGGGCATCGCAAGCAGAGGCGAACCTATGCGCTGCCTGCTTCGAGAGGCGAACGATCCAAGGCTAGTTTAGGGTATCTAACAGTATTGGTATGCGATGAACGTGAATCTTAACGGGCCTAGCCTGAAGCAGTCAGAATCCGTTTACACTCACGGGAACAAGGAACCTCAGTCATGACGTGGACGAGAAGGATAGTGATAGGTCCGTTTCCCCGCGACACCTCAGTTTCGAGATCCGCCATGGCGACGGAGAGCGCATCCTTGCTGACGTCCTTGTACTTGGTCACCTCCACCACCCACGTCACTTCCGACGCTGTCGGTGACATCCCAGCTACCACCGAGCTTCCAATATCACGCGCAACCCAGACGACACCACAAACACGGCCTCAACCACAACTAATATGTCGAATAAGTTAACCTGAGCGGTAGTATGTCGAGGTCATGTTAACTTTAACTAATGATACAAGCTTTCAAGACCGATATCAGCCCATCGAATGCCTTCAAATGTACACCGCAGGAGGACTCTAAAAGAGGCATGAGCCATAATTAGCTACTTTAGGAGGTGTCTGGGCATGATGGGTTGACCTAATGCAGCCTTTCCAAAAGCCTCACAACGCTCAGGCCATGTCCATTCCATTCCATAGGCCCGACTCCAACCGACATTGTATTTGCCGTGGCATTGACCCGCTCCTCCGTGTCAAACCCTAGGCGTCTGTCATGCAGCTCGCTGAACTTAGCTCGCCGTTACAGACAAGTCTTGTCGCAGCGGAGAATTGACGACCCAATCTCACTATATCTGCATCGCGACCATTCACCATGAGTATGACTGCCAGTTTATGCGACCAGAAGCGAACTGTCGAAGAACACCGTCAGTGTAACACAATTACCGACTTTCCAAATGTACTCGACGAATGCAGTTTCGGACTTCCACGCCCGAACCAGACCAAACCCAACGGTCTCCTTTCGGGTTCCCTTCACTTTTTCGGAACTGCTGCGACTGCGGCACCACTCGCTTGATGTGGGTGTACAGTAGTGTTTCCCTAGGACCGCCACGTCTTGTCGCGTGGTTTCGCATTTCACGCGGATTGGCGAACTTTCGTCGCTGCCAATCAGATAGCCAATTTTAACCAGGGGTACCGCCCTCGTTTTGTCGTCTACGAGGGGGACGAGGTGAAGTGAAGTGTGGGCACGGCACGGCCCTCCCTCTCCATGCACTGCACTACGCCAACGAAATGGGGGGACAAAAGCAACTGTACGTTTGTTCGTCAGTGTCACCACCACTAAAGGGTCACACAAAAGTGGCAAGGATGTTTGAAATGCTCCATTAGCTGACAGAATAGTGAAATTAAAGCACCCACACCAGACCAGAGATAGTCCACTGTCAAAGATGATCGTATTTAATGAAAAAGAGAGAGGAGCTGCAGGTGGCGGGGAAGTGTGTTTGTGGCACAGCGTATGTTGACCCAGCAGACCCGCACCATGCCCTGAGATGCAGGCACCAGCATGGTCCTTCTCGGGTGCATGATGAGGTGAAGTTTGCGGTGGCGAAGATCTCTAAGGCGTCGGGGGGGGGTGGTGACATTGGAGGATAGTGTGGTGCTGCAAGGGAAGCGGGTTGATGTGGCGGTGCGACGTCCAATGGCTGGAGAGGCTCACGGCCTAGAGATCAGCGTCGCGGACCCGCTATCGCTGTCTCCATCACTGCTGGGACAGTGCGGGCGTCAAATAGGTGTGGCGGCAAGGGAATGGGAGCGTCGCAAAACGAGTGATTACGCGCCTCTGCTTGCACGCAACCGGGGCGTGCAGTTCACCCCTTCCATAGTTGAGACGTGGGGGTGTCTCGGCGGTCGTTTTCAGCGGTGGCTTCGTCAGCAGGGGGATGCGCACGTGGGGCTAGCTGTGTCGCGGGGGGCTTGTCGAGAGGACGACTCTGTGTTTTCGGCTTATCTTTTAGGGTCACTGAAGGCGCTCATCGGGGTGGCGTTACAACGTGCGCAAGCCCGTGTCATCCTGCTTCGAGCGGCGTCTTCCACGGGGGGGATTAACGTAGATTTGGCGGATCGGGAGAGGGACGATGTCGATGTGGAAGGCGGGGCTCTCTGGGTGGAGGCCTCGTACATGGTCGATACGTTGATGTGATTGAGGGGGGGGGGGGGGGGGGGGGATGGGGCGTGGGATGGGATGTCTTGATGGGGTGTCTTGACTGGGCGTTTTGATTGGGTAACTTGAGGGGGGGGTTTATGTGTGTTGCATTTGGGTTCTTTTTGGGAGTTTCATTTTCCTTCTCCCTTTCTTTCTCCATTCCCTTTCTTTTTCAGACACACTATGGCGAGACACATGGTGTGAATGATTTTTTGAGACAGCAGACGGGGGTATGTAACCAGCAACCATATTAAGGATGAAGACGAGTAATGTACTTGAAAAAGAAAAAAAAAAAGAGAGGAGCTGTAAAGACGATTATAATGTATATGAGTGAACGCTTTTAATACTTTTGAACCCAATCGAGGCAAAAGATGACATGAAGTTAGACCTAGATTGAGATTATTTATGAAAGTCCAAATGACTATTACATATCGTTATGAAGGCGTCAGCCACCCTATCGTGCCGTTCAAGCAGAGCCAAAGGAGCAAGCACGAGCCAAAGGACCTTGATGCAAAATGAGACATAGTTGCTTACCACGTAGCCACTATCGTAGGCTAGGGCTTCCGTCCTAACAAATGCAGTCGCGGATGCAATATAGCTACGACGCACGACAGCAACGCTAGGCTGCATCCTCGTGGTATCTGTTGAAGCACCGCATCACCCCACCGCGTGCGTCGAGCACCACCGTCGGCCACAATGCCACACCCCTGCCCACACCACCCAAAGCATTGCAAGGCGTTCTGAAAGCTTCTCGCGCTGCCCCCGACCGCCAACCATGCGGGGCGTCCTCGCATCAGGGCGCGCCATATGCACGGCTCGTCTGCTCGCCGCTGCACTGTTCGCGTGCGCGCTGGGCCTCGCGTCCGACGCGCTTACCGCCGCCGTGCACCCACCGCTTCTCGCGGGGTCACCCTCGCGCCACCACGTGGAGGCGGCGCCGGTTCGCGTGCGAGCGGCTGCGAGTCTGATCGCGGCGGCTGTGAGCGGGGGGACGGGAGAGCGGCATGCCGCTGCGCTGGCAGGCGCGGCGTTGAGTGGCGCCCTCGCGCGCGTCTATCGCCGCCGCCACGCCCCTTCTCTGAGCGCCGACCCCGCCTGCCCTCCCGACCCCTCCCACCGTTTCATCACTCACACGCATCCCTCCTTGCCCATCCCCACCAGCGATACCCCTCCGCTGCAGCCACAATGCGCGGAAGAAGGGCCGAGATGCGCGGATACTAGGGCTCCGCTCTTCCCCATACTCGAAGGTAACGTACCCCTTTCCCGCCATAAACCTCTCCCCATTCCATGGGGCCATCACATCTTCACCCACCCCTTCCCTTCATACCACCACTCTTACCAATCTCACCGCAATCGCCAATCCTGCTGCTATCCGCCATTCCTGCCTTCCCTCCTCCACGCTACTCTTGCTTCCCTTCCAATCACCTCTTTCGCCTCCCCGCCCATGCACCCCGCCCGTCCCCCGCGCGCGCAGGTCTGCTGGACGCCGCCGTGCTGCACCTCATCGTCGCTGCCGCCACTCCTCTCCTCCCCCGCCTCCCATCGCCCGCCACCCTCACCAACCACCCTGCCGGCCGTTTGCCTTTCGTGGCTGCGGCGCTCGCTCCACGGGCCCTCGCGCTGGGCCGCCTGCTGCTGCTGCTCGCCGCCACAGCCGCCGCCACCTCCTCGTCCTCCTCGCTCCTCCCCCTCCTCCTCCTCGCGCGCCCTCCAGCGGACCTCCCCGCCTTCTGGGCGCGCGCCCTGCGCCTGCTGCTGGCGGACCTCGTGGCGCTGCTGCTCGGCGCGCTGCTGCTGCCCCTGGCTTTCGCGCCTGCTGCGCCACTCGCGCACATGCAAGGGGCGGGGGAGGCGGGTCAGGCGAGGGGGGAGGAGGGCACACTGGGGGAGGAGGGCACACTGGGGCAGGCGCAGGCTGGAAGGGAGGGGGGACAGAAGGGGTGCGGGGAGGAGAGCGAGGGCATGGCGCAGGGAGGTAGTGGGGAAGGCAGTGGGGAGAGCATCGGGGAAAGGGGATGGGCGGAGGGGCTGTACGATAAAGGGGGGGCGGCGCATGGCAGGTGTGGGGGAGGCATGCAGGCGAGCAGTGGGGGCGGAGGGGCATGGGGCGTGGCGGTGGTGTGCGGGGTGGTGGCGGGCAGCTGTGGCGCTCTCCTCTCAGGCGCTCTCTCCGCCTCCCATGCCGCCCCGCTCACCGCCCTGCTCGCCCCCACTCTCCTGTGCTGCGCCGCCCACTCGCCACGGTAACCGCGTGGCCGTGCACGAATGCTTTCCTGTTGCTTCGCCCTGTCATGCCACTCCTCATCTCCTTGCTTCTCATGCGCCCACCTAACCCTTCTCTTCATGCGCCCCCAATGAATGTGTTGGTGCGCTTCTCCCTCCCTCCACCAGCCACCTTGCAGCCGCCACACTCGCACTCTCAGCATCAACCCTCTCAGCCGCGTCAGCAGGGCTGGGCCCCTTTCACCGCGCTGTACCGGTTGAAGCTACGCTTCAGGTGATTGGCAGGAGGGTGCTATGGATGGGGGTGGAGATTGGGGAGAGGGTGGGAGTGTGTGTGAGGTGCTCACGTGGGTGGGTGGATGCCACACCGCAGCCACCCACAGGCCTTGGAACGCGTTTCACTGCTCACATTGCGTCCTCCACTACCCTTCACATGCACATGCATCATCCCCACCCCAATTCCCCCTCGCCCCTCGCAGCTGCAGCTCTTCCTGCTCGCCCTCCTGCTGCTGGCCCACCTACTCCTGCCGCTCTCAACCGCCCCCTGCCCGCCCTGCATCACCTGCTGCCACACCAACGCGTGAGTTGTTGCCCCTGCCTGCACGGTACCAACCGATCCAACCACACATCACTCCGTGCGCGCACCAGTCGACACCTCTCTACCAATTCGCCTCGCTGATCCCAATTCCCCCATCCCTGCGATCTGTCGCATCATGCCTGTTGTGCCCGCTGCCATCCCTTCTCCTCCCACACGCACTTGATGCCCCTCGCCGGCCGGCCCTCAGAGCGGAGTGGGCAGAGCGGGCACGGCGCGTGGCAGCGCTGGAGAGCCACGTGGCAGCACTGCAGGGCCAGGTGGCAGAGCTGGAGGGCGAGGTGCAGCAGGAGCGAGAGGTGGCGCGGGCGGCAGGGGAGGCGGTGCGTGCAGCGGTGGAGGCAAAGGTGCAGTTCATGGCGAACATGAGCCATGAGATCCGCACGCCCATCCACGGCATCCTCGGCATGACCGACCTCGCCCTCGACAACCCCCTGCCCCCTGACGCCCGGGAACACCTTGAAACCGTGCTGCAGTCCGCCAACCACCTGGTAACCACCTGTTAACCCCCTCAGAGCTTGTGTTTCGGCCACCTCACATATTATTCTCCAATCATCACGTGCATCTCCTCTGATGTGTCGCTATATCTTTCCTGCCACCCGCCCCTGCCCCCTGTCCCCTTGGTGCGTGCGTGCATGGGTGGGTACGGGGGCGAGCAGCTGCTGGTGGTGAACGACATTCTGGACATCACCAAGCTCGAGGCGGGCCGCCTGCACCTCGACTGCGCCCTCTTTGACCTGCGCGCTCTCCTCAACGGCATCATGACAATGCTTGCCGCCCGCGCCGCCCTCAAGGGCCTGGCCTTCCAGTGGGAGGTGGATGCGGCTGTGCCGCCCGTGCTGCTGGGCGATGCCGTGCGCCTCCGACAGTGCCTGGTAGGGTTTAGGCTGTGATGCTCTGAGGTGCCTCCGACAGTGCCTGGTAGGGTTTAGGCTGTGATGCTCTGAGGTGCCTCCGAAAGTGCCTGGTACGCACGGCTGTGATGCTCTGAGGTGCCTCCGACAGTGCCTGGTACGCACGGCTGTGATGCTCTGAGGTGCCTCCGACAGTGCCTGGTACGCACGGCTGTGATGCTCTGAGGTGCCTCCGACAGTGCCTGGTACGCACGGCTGTGATGCTCTGAGGTGCCTCCGACAGTGCCTGGTACGCACGGCTGTGATGCTCTGAGGTGCCTCCGACAGTGCCTGGTACGGACGGCTGTGATGCTCTGGTGCCCCCGACAGTGCCTGGTGCGCACGGCTGTGATGCTCTGGTGCCCCCGACAGTGCACGTTGCTGGCAGGTCGTTGTTGTTGATTGCTGATGGTATGTTGGGGGAATCTCATGTCATGGTGTCGCATGATGAGTACATGGGGTGCTGCAATGAAACCATGTGTGTTCCTTCATGCCTCACTGTTCCCTCTGCCACCCCTGCCTGTGCTGTGCTGTGCTGTGCTGCACTGTGTGGGAGGGCAGGTGAATGTAGTGGGCAACGCCATCAAGTTCACGGACCAGGGCAAGGTGCACATCACAGTGCATCCCTTCTCCCCCTCCCTCCTCTCACCAGCCCTCTCCCTCATACCGCTTCCCTCCTCCCACTCCTCTCCCTCCTCCACCACCATTTTTCCTCCTCAAGACCTCACGCCCTCTCACCTGTCTCCCTGCAATTCCTCCTCCGCCTCCGCCTTCTCCTCCTCCTCCTCCTCCTCCTCCTCCTCCTCCTCCTCCTCCTCCTCCTCCTCCTCCTCCTCCTCCTCCTCCTCCTCCTCCTCCTCCTCCTCCTCCTCCTCCTCCTCCTCCTCCTCCTCCACCACCACCACCACCACACTCAATTCCTCTGCTGCGTCCGCCTGTGCTACCGGCCCACCCCCCTCGCCCTCTGCCCCTGCTGCCCCTCATGGCCCTTCTCCTGCGCGCAGCGACGCGGATAAGAGGGGCGATGAGGGTAATGGGGGCAAAGGGGGCGATGGGGGCAGTGGGAGGGGGTCAGAGGGAGCAGCAGCGCAGGGGGGGGAGGGATTGGCGCTGCTCTTCACCATCACTGACACGGGCGTTGGTGAGTTGACACGGGCGTTGGTGAGATGACACGAGCGTTGGTGAGTTGACACGGGCGTTGGTGAGTTGACACGGGCGTTGGTGAGTTGACACGGGCGTTGGTGAGTTGACACGGGCGTTGGTGAGTTGACACGGGCGTTGGTGAGTTGACACATGCTGTGTGTTTGCCACTCCATAACGATTTTCTCTGCATGCATTGCTGCTTCACCCAGTCTTTTCCCACCTCTGTCCTCCTCTGCCATGCACCCGCGCCCTCTGCCCCATGTGCTGTGCCCTCTCCGACGCCCTGCCTCCTGGGTGGGCGGTAGGCATAGCGGCGGGCGAGCAGAGGCGCATCTTCTGTGCGTTTGAGCAGGTGGACTCGTCCATGTCGCGCCAGCACGGCGGCACGGGGCTCGGCCTCTCCATCACCTCCCGGTATGCCCCCCCTCTCCATCACCTCCCGGTATGCCCCCCCTCTCCATCACCTCCCGGTATGCCCCCCCTCTCCATCACCTCCCGGTATGCCCCCCCTCTCCATCACCTCCCGGTATGCCCCCCCTCTCCATCACCTCCCGGTATGCCCCCCCTCTACATCACCTCCCGGTATGCCCCCCCTCTCCATCACCTCCCGGTATGCCCCCCCTCTCCATCACCTCCCGGTATGCCGGCCCCCGCACACCCTTCCCCTTCCCCCTCTCCTCTCCCTTCTCCGGAAGCCCTTCTATTGTCGCTGCGAGCGTGTGTTGTACTTTGTCTGGAAAGGCATGCTACACGCCCAGCCAGGTTGAGGCACAGGCAGGTACAGGCAGGCAGAGGCAGGGAAAGCCGCAATGTTGATTTCTGAACTTTGTGTGTCTCCCACCTGCAGGCTCGTTCACATGATGGGCGGCAGCATTTGGCTGCACTCGTCTCCTGGCGCCGGCAGCACCTTTGCCTTCTCTGCCACCTTTGCTGCGCCGCCCGTCTCCCCCTCCACCCCCCATGCTGCCCTCCCCCCGGCCCCACGGCGCACGGTGAGTGCGGAGGAGCTGGACGGCCGCCTGGCGCTGGACGCCCTCTCGCTCTCACTGTTGCCCTCCCTCGTCCTCCACCGCTCCTCCTCCCGCGCCCTGCCTCCCCCCCTCTCGCCCTCCGCCGCCTCCTCTGCTGCCAGCGCTGCCGCACCCCTATGTGCGCGCTCGCCTGCTGCCGCCCGCATGGGGTTCAGCTTCCCGGGGCAGGCAGACGCCGCGTTGGACGCTGCAGCAGGCGGGGCAGGGCAGCACGGCGCATGGGAGAGGGTTGCAGCGGCAGGGCGAGGTGGAGGAGGCGAGGGCGGACGCATGGATGCCAGAGCGGACGCAGCAGGGGGTGCAGGTGGTGGGGGTGCGGTGCAGGGCAGGGCAGGGCGCAGCCGGCGCAGAACACAGAGTTTCACATGTGGGGATGCGAGCACAGGGCGCATGCTGGAGGAGGTGCTGCGGCAGGCGAGCAGGGAGCAGCAGGCAGGCCAGCTACCCTCCAGCAGACTCGGTGCTGCTGGCCCCCACGCCCATGCCACCGCTGCCCTTGCAGCCGCCTCTGCACTGGTTGGTGCGAGGGGCAGCAATGGTGGTGGTGAGGAGCGTCGCTGTGACGAGGCTCATGTTGGCACATGCTCCCGTGTTGACAGTGCGCAACAGAGCAGCGGCACGGTTACAGCCGTAACAGCAGCAGTGGCAGCTGCGGCAGCGGCAGTGGCAGCAGCGGCAGCTGTTGCAGAAAAGGGTGCAGAGGAAGTCTCCTCAGGTTCAGATGGGTGGATGTTTCCATTCGGTCTTCGTGCTTCTCATGACCCTCATCCACTCCCCCTGCAGCAGCCACAGCAGCAGCAGCAGCAGCAGCGGCAGCAGGTTGAGGAGAAGAAGCAGCAAGAGCAGGAGCAGCAGGGGCGAGTAGCAGTGGGGCAGCTGGAGAGGAGCAGCAGCGAGGGCTTTGCCATGCGGCGGCGGCATCTGCTGGTGGTGCGCGGGCGCACGCGGTCCCTGGAGTGCATGGGGGCGCGACAGGCCCAGGAGTGGGCCGGTGCACGCTCAGAGCACACTGGGGACGCGCAGGGCGGGCGGAGAGAGGGCGATGCGAGGGGCACAAGCGGCACCACAGGCAGCAGAGCAGCAGTGGCGGGCAGAGAGGGTGGTGGTGGGGATGGTGGCGAGGAGAGCCGGCAGGGGAGCAGCAGCCCTGGGGTGGAGGTGCCTCGCCTGCCATCGTGGAGCCCACTCAGTGGCAGTGGGGCGCGCATGGCAGGCAGTCCGCGCACAGAGGGGGGCATGGGAGGCACGGGAGTCATGGGGGCCACGGGAGGCATGGGGGGCATGGGAGGCAGAGCAGCAAGCAACGAGCCCAGAAGCCCCCATGCACAAGCAGGTGCGGCTCGTGCTGGTGGTGGTGGTGGTGGTGGTGGTGGTGGCACGGACAGTGGTGGCGTGGAGGCGAGTGTGGCGAAGCTGAGCCGCGTGGTGGAGAGGGAGGACGAGGGGTTGAGTGAGGATGATGCCCCCGCCGCCCGCACAGCGCAGCAGAGCAGGAGAGAGGCGCGTGTGCTGCGAGGCAGCGCTGGGCGGCTATCGGTGGAGGGCAGCGTGGCGGAGCTGCAAGGGGCGCGTGCAGGCGGTGAGAGGGAGCAGGGCGGCGCTGGTGTGCTGAGGGAGCAGGGCGCAGGGCAGGGTGTGGGGAGGGCGAGAGAAGAGGAGCGGTTGAAAGGACTGAGTGCATGTGAGGAGGACGAGAGAGAGGAGTTGGGACAGAGAGGCCGGAGCGGGTGGCAGGGCCCTCCCTTGTCGGCGAGTGCGAGTGGGTGGTCGACGGAGGCAGCAGCTGAGATGCGCCCCAGCGTGAGCTTCAAGGAGAATCTCTCTGCACGCCACCGTGAGGAGGGGGAGCCCTTGCAGGCAGCACTGGGCAATGCCAGCCCTGACCCCTGTGAGGCACTCAGTCGTGGCGGTTCGAGCAGCGGTAGTGGGGATGCAGCCGCAGCTACAGCAGAGGCGGCATCAGGCAGCAGGGCGGGTGCATGCGGGTTGTTGGGACGACAGAGGCAGCTGCGAGTGCAGCACCTCACCTTCCAGCTGCCTGACGACACCTCCCCTGCGCACTCGCCCTCCACCCCCACCTTTGACTCGCGCCGCCCGTCCCTCAAGCCGCCTGCGCCCGCTGCCCCCTCCGCCATCTCACCGCGCCCGCCTGTGTCCCCGCGGCGGCCTTACGGGGACGCGGCTGAGCCGAGCACCATGGAGGCCATCTACGCGCGCATCCAGGCCCAAGCTGCCGCCTCGCGCCCCCTCGCCCCCACGCGCTCGCCCTCCACCGCCGCCGCTGCAGGCGACGGCGCGCGCAGCTTGGCACGCGGGAGGGAGCCGCCCGCCCTGGACGTGCCGTCCACACCGTCGTCCTCCGCACGCCGCGCTGCTGGAGGGGGCCTGCTGCGCCAGAAGTCAGGCGGGATGGTGCTGCTGCAGCGGCAGGGCACAGGGGTGGGGCGGCAGGGCGGGGGGCTGGTGAGGCAGGGCACGGGGCTGGGGCGGCAGGCGAGTGTGAAGCTGAAGCAGAAGCCGGTGCGCGCGGCGAGCCCACGGGCCATGCTGTCGGCGGTGGCGCTGAACATCCTGCTGGCGGACGACAGCGTGGTGAACCAGAAGGTGGCGGTGCGCTTCCTCAAGAAGAAGGGCATGGTGGCGGACGCCGTGGGCGACGGCGCTCAGGCCATCCAGCGCCTCTACCCCAAGGATGGCGGCATCTCCCCCTACGACCTCCTGCTGCTCGACGTGCAGGTGCGACCTCCTGCTGCTCGACGTGCAGGTGCGACCTCCTGCTGCTCGACGTGCAGGTGCGACCTCCTGCTGCCACACGTGCAGGTGCGACCTCCTGCTGCTCGACGTGCAGGTGCGACCTCCTGCTGCTCGACGTGCAGGTGCGACCTCCTGCTGCTCGACGTGCAGGTGCGACCTCCTGCTGCTCAACGTGCAGGTGCGACCTCCTGCTGCTCGACGTGCAGGTGCGACCTCCTGCTGCTTGACGTGCAGGTGCGACCTGCTGCTGCTCGACGTGCAGGTGCGACGTGAAAAAAGGAGTGTTTTGAGACGTCTCAAAACACTCCTTTTTTCACGTGTTTTGAGACGTCCCAAAACACTCCTTTTTTAACGCTGCTCGACGTGCAGGTGCAACTTCCTGCTGCCACACGTGCAGGTGAGTCGACAGCCGTGCGTGGTGCACGTTTGCCAGATCTATGCAGGTGAGAGATACCGTCAGCTTGGAGGGCGAAATCCCAAATCATACGGTCTGAAGGAAGCATTAGTCACCAGTGTATCCCTTTCTTACTTGTAATATTCATTCTTGTGTGTGTGTGTGGTTGGTTGAGCGTGGGGCCCGGGGCGCAGATGCCAGTGATGGATGGACTTCAAACCGTGCGGGTTATTCGTGAGAAGGAGACGGCAGAGAAGCTTCCCCACCTTCCAGTCATTGGTACGCTGCTGCTGCATTTGTGTCCCTTTAACATGCTACTTACATGGCTCTGCCCATGTTGCTCATGTGTCACAGTACATGGCTTACATGTTCATATGTGCCAACCCAAACCCCTGGCTGTAGCCTCATGTCCCTCGGCTGTGGAGGGAGCTGGTGCATGCCTGAGTGCGATCTCGCCCCCCCCTGCCTGTGTGAGCAGGGCTGACAGCGCATGCGGCCGACGTGTACCGCGACCAGTGCATCTCCGCCGGCATGGACGGCTTCGTCTCCAAGGTAACCGCACGCACTCTCCGCAACTCCTCCCCACTTGCTCCCCTCCCGCGCTTCACCCTCTCTCTGTGGATGCATGGATACACAGTGATGCCTTCCTGGATTCGCACATGTAGAAGCATGCACGGACACACATTCGCACCCCATGAAACTGCACACACGCAGGCAAGCAAGCACACAGTTTAACAGTCCTGAGCACAGCATTGAGTTATTGATCCATTTACTGATCCAGCTACTGATCCAGTTACTAATCCATTTTCCAAATTTCCTCCCTTTCCCACCAGCCATTCACTGTGAATCAGCTGTTGAGCATGATGCAGTCTGTGCTTGAAAAGTATTCGCATAAACGATTGCCACCTGAAGCTATGGCATCGTAACAGGCAGCACCCTTATACGGTAGGCTATTTTTAGTTGAAATTTTCCTTGCAAGAGTACCCTAGTCCATTCATGGTTTAGATTTTCTATTGCAAGAGTAACACTGCCCAACTACCGTATCACCCCGGATGGTAGCGTATAAGCGCTTATCAGGGCCTCAGATTGGTTTCAGGCTAGGCTGAAAGATCAGAGTTGGTACAAAATTCTATGCCGAAAAACAGAGAAATCAGCCCATTTTATGCCATTTTACACTACAATATAGTAAAAAATCCAGTTTCTTCCCAAAAAATTGCTGGAAAATCAGCCTTGATTCTGAAAAAGGTCTGAAATCTCAGCCTTTTTTACTTAAATCAGCCTTTTCGCTGACTTCTGAGGCCCTGGCGCTTATAATAATACCGTATCTGTTTTTTTTTAAGGGGGGCGCTTCTAATTGAGTATGGGGCATAAGCGCATGTGCTTATAAAATCACAAATATAGTTTCGCATTGTTTTTGCACCTGCATCTTATTCTTGCGATTCCAATCGAGTTGAAGTTTCATAGCGTCAGGAATCAAAATCGCACGCACGAGATTCCCTGTGTCAGATTATTATAGCTGATGCATGTTTGTAGGCTATAGTGGGGTAGCACATATGGGGTACAGTTTGCTAGGGTTGTATTTGTACCCAACTCTGACTTAGTCAATCAATTCCTCTGCTCATAGTTTCACATGGTATAGAGCTAGGTCCCTCCAGGACCGAATTTTTTTTTTTGGGCCCACCGAAGCGCGCCCCCCGAGGCGCGCCCTTTTTGTTTTAGCGACCCTTCGGGTCGCCCTCTCCCCTTACGCGGCCCCGCGCTGGCCCCTTACGCGGCCCTGCGCCGCCGGCTCCTACGCGGCCCCGCGCCGGCCTCCTACGCGGCTCCGAGCCGGCCCCTTACGCGGCCCTGGGCCGCCGGCTCCTACTCGGCCCCTTACGCGGCCCCGCGCCGGCCTCCTTCTCGGCCCCGCCGCCGGCCTCCTACACGGCCCGCCGCAGGCCTCCTACTCGGCCCGCCACCGGCCTCCTACACGGCCCGCCGCCGGCCTCCTACTCGGCCCGCCGCCGGCTCCTACACGGCCCCGCCGCCGGCTCCTACTCGGCTCCGCCGCCGGCCTCCTACACGGCCAGCCGCCGGCCTCCTACACGGCCCGGCCCCGGCTCCTACTCGGCCCGCCGCCGGCCCCCTACTCGGCCCGCCGCCGGCCTCCTACACGGCCCTGCCGCCGGCCTCCTACTCGGCCCGTCGCCGGCCTCCTACTCGGCCCACCGCCGGCCTCCTACTCGGCCCGCCGCCGGCCTCCTACACGGCCCTGCCGCCGGCCTCCTACACGGCCCTGCCACCGGCCTCCTACTCGGCCCGTCGCCGGCCTCCTACTCGGCCCGCCGCCGGCTCCTACCTGGCCCTACCGCCGGCCCTACCGCCGGCCTTGTCCCGGCCCCGCCACTGCACTGCAGCCGAGCCGCCCAGCAGCAGCCGAGCCGCCCAGCAGCAGCCGAGCCGCCCAGCAGCAGCCGAGCCGCCTAGCAGCAGCCGAGCCGCCCAGCAGCAGCCGAGCCGCCCCGCAGTAGCCGAGCCGCCCCGCATTAGCCGAGCCGCCCGGTACCTGCGCAGCCCGAGCCGCCTGAGCTGCACGAGCAGCCCGAGCCGCCTGCTGCTGACCTACCCGACTCTCCCATCCCGGTGAGACTTTCAGCTGCTGCTATGGCCACCCCCAATGTTCTCACTTTTGACGCTGAGGGGAGGGCCATTGACTTTGCCGTCTGGATCGAGGATCTGCAGCTGTACTTACTGTGTGATGCGGTAGATGAGGTCTCTCTCTTTGACTTTGTCTCTGGCGCTGTCCCTGCCCCGCCTGCTGATGCTGACTCTGCCGTTCGCTCCAAGTGGGCGACCCGCGATGCTGCTGCACGTCTTGCTGTGCGTCGCCACCTCCCTTCCTCTGAGCGTGCCCACTTTAGTCAGTGCAAGACCGCTCAGGCCTTGTACGACGCTGTAGTTGCGCGCTACTCCTCCCCTTCCTCCGCTACCCTTAGCCGCCTCATGCTACCGTTTCTCTTCCCTGACCTCGCTTCCTTTCCCACTGTCGCTGACCTCGTTACCCACCTCCGCGCTAGTGACACCCGCTACCGCGCTGCCCTTCCTGCTGAGTTCCGCGCTGCGAACCCTCCTCCCATGTACATCACTCTCTACTTTCTCGTCACCCGTCTTCCTGAGTCCCTTCGTGTCGTTAGGGACCAGTTTCTCTCTGTCTGTCCCACCACTCTCACTGTCGACCTCCTTGAGGAGTCCCTGCTAGCGGCTGAGAAGAGTATTGTCGCTGTAGGGGCCTCTCGGGGTGACCCTCGCACCCCCATCTTTGAGGGGTGTGGTCCCTCCCCCCTGCTGCCCTCTGTCGCCTCTGCCGCTGCGGCCGACCTCGTTGGTTTTGAGTCGGTCGGCGCGGCGTCTGCCCCCAGTGGCAGACGCCGCACTGGCAAGGGCAAAGGGGGCAAGGGAGCGGGTGGAGCCAGAGGGGGCGGTGGAGGAGGCGGTGGGGGTGGAGGGGGGAGTGGGGGTGGCGGGGGGGGTGGTGGCGGGAGTGGAGGTAGTAGTGGCGGCGGTGGAGGCGGAGGTGGCGGCGGAGGTGGTAGCGGAGGAGGCGGTGGGAGCGGTGGGAGCGACGGTCCTGGTGGGGGAGGTGGCGGTGGCGACGGGGGTGGCGGTGGAGGCGGGGGTGGCGGTGGAGGAGGGGGTCGGAGTGGCTCGTCCCAGCGGAGCAGCTCTGGGGGTGGTCAGCGCCAGCAGCAGCAGCAGCAGCAGCCACAGCAGCAGCCGCAGCAGCAGCAGCGCTCTCGCACCGTCCCCGGCCCTCAGCAGCTCCGTGAGTGGTACTTGCAGCGTCAGCGCGGTGGTGCGCTTGGTCCCTGCCCCTACGTTCTTCGCACTGGTGACCGTGCAGGGGAGAGGTGTGGAGGCGCCCACACAGCCCGTCGCTGCTTTGGCCGCCTGACCGACGCCTGGCGTCAGCAGTTTCCGGAGGCCGCTGAGATCCCCCGCTGGGGAGAGCTGTCTAGGGCTGGTGTAGCTATTTATGATCTTGATTTTGATGCTATTCTCTCTGCTATGTATGCTGTGACTGGTAGTGATGAGGATGACTGTTACCGGTGTTTCCCGCCTGACCCGGGCATTGGTACTGCCGCGTCAGGTACTTGTGCAGCTGCTGCTCTAGGTGCCAGTGCGTCTGTGCTTTCAGGTACTGGTGAGTCCGCCCTCTCAGGTACTGTGTCGGCTTCGGCCTCTCACACCTTCACCCTTGACTCTGGAGCGTCTCGCTCCTTCTTTAGGGACCGCACCACTCTCACGCCGCTGAGTCGGCCGGTTGCGGTGTCCCTGGCGGACCCCTCTGGGGGGCCTGTCCTGTCTCGCTTCTCCACTGTCCTCCCGTGTCCGGCGGCCCCCTCTGGCACCCTGACTGGTCTCTACCTCCCCTCGTTCTCGACGAACTTGGTGAGTGGTGCTGACCTCCAGGATGCAGGTGTCCACCAGTTCACCCCTGCTCGTCAGCGGGTGACCCACTGTACGGAGGCGGATACAGGTCGCCACCTGGCTACGTTTACACGTCGGCCGGGATCGAGCCTGTACACACTGACCACTGCTTCTCCTCCAGGTACTGCGTCTGGTAGAGCCCCTTCGTCTGGTCAGGTGTTTGCTGCAGCGTCCAGGTCTGGTCCTGAGTCTGCCCCTTGTTCGTGTCGTCGTCTGTCTCACGAGACCCTCCTCTGGCACCACCGCCTTGGCCACCCCTCTCTGCTTCGGCTCAGAGGCATGGCCTCGCGGGTCCTTGTGTCTGGTCTTCCCCGGTCCCTCCCTCCCCTTCCTCCGGGCCCTGGCCCTGCCTGTGTCCCCTGTGTCGAGGGGCGCCAGCGTGCTGCCCCTCACTCCTCCCAGTTTCCTCCGACAGAGGCCCCGTTGCAGACGCTTCACATGGACGTGTGGGGCCCAGCCCGCGTCCGTGGACAGGGTCAGGAGCGCTACTTCCTGCTAGTGGTTGACGACTACTCGCGTTACACCACAGTCTTCCCCTTGCGCAGCAAGGGTGAGGTCACTCAGGTGTTGATCGACTGGATCCGCGCAGCTCGTCTTCAGCTTCGGAGAAGCTTTGGCTCTGACTTCCCTGTCTTGCGTCTGCACTCGGACAGAGGCGGAGAGTTCTCCTCGGCCCTCCTGAGTACCTACTGTCGTGTGCGAGGCATCCGTCAGACCTTCACGCTTCCGGACTCACCACAGCAGAATGGGATCGCTGAGCGCCGCATTGGCATGGTCATGGACGTCGCTCGTACGTCCATGATGCATGCGGCTGCTCCCCATTTTCTGTGGCCGTTTGCGGTCAGGTACGCTGCGCACCAGATCAACCTCCACCCCAGGGTCTCTCGACCGGAGACCTCCCCAGCTCTGTTGTGGACGGGGAAGGTTGGCGATGCGTCGGCGTTCCGGGTCTGGGGATCTCGGGCGTTTGTTCGCGACCTGTCTGCGGACAAGCTGTCCCCTCGTGCTTCTCCCTGCGTCTTCCTCGGGTTCCCCCCCGACGCCCCTGGGTGGCAGTTTTACCACCCCACCTCTCGACGTGTTCTGTCCTCCCAGGACGTCACGTTCGACGAGTCGGTACCCTACTACCGCCTCTTCCCCTACCGCACTCCGTCCCTCCCCCCACCCCCTCTCTTCTTGGTACCAGGTCCCCCCCCAGTAGTCCCCCTCCCCCCTCAGGGTCCTGCCCCTTCAGGTGTGTCTCAGGTAGACGCGGTCGAGCCTGTCGAGGTCCCTGGTGACTCCGGTGCTGCTGCGGGAGCTGAGCCTGGGGGTGCGGAGTCTAGGGGTGCTGAGCCTGGGGGTGCGGAGTCTGGGGGTGCTGAGCCTGGGGGTGCTGAGCCTGGGGGTACTGTGCCTGGGGGTGCTGTGTCTGGAGGTACTGAGCCTGGGGGTGCTGAGCCGGGAGGTGCCGAGC